AGGTCCCTTCCGACCCTTAATCTATGAATCTATGAAAGTGTCTGTGACTAAAGTATCCATAAGCAAGCGTGCTTGATTTAGGCCTGAAAAGGGCAATTAAAGAAGCAACAAGGATCCTTCTACCTTTGCACAGGGAGCAAAATGTACCTGCCTTCTTTGTGCAACATACATACAGGTACCCAGTTAGGGGAATCATGTCTCCATCTATTTCTGCAGCAGCCTCCACACCTGATCTGGCACGACAGAGCCAGGTCGCCCGTGCACAGTACCCTCTTTGCCCCCCCCACCTTCTCCTAGGTGAGCAGCTGCGTAGATACCGTATTGAGTATTTTGAAGTTTGCCTATTAAACAACCATATCTTTCCACTAACCCTGTTCCCACCTCCCACAGTTCTTCACTGGTTTGCTTCCCACAGCTTACCTTTGATGAGGGTACATTTCATTTCCAAATACCAAAAACCTTGAAAATGAGGGCACTCTCTCAGGTATCCAATAAGGTTGTAAGCATGGTCGCATGTTCACTACCAGTCACACAAACTGCTACTGAACAAGAGGTGAGAACAAGGCAAAGGGGCAGCTTCTCATCTCCAGAAAACCAACAAAGAGCAGATCTTCAAAATATTTCCTAGATTTCCACATATATGTTGTGTCCAGAGGCCAAATCCTTCCCTCTCTGTGTATTGGAGAAAGGGTCCTAGACCCAAGATCAAATGGGCAGATCTCCTGTTTTGGTGACCTGGCATCTAATTACTTCCAGACTTAGACTCACTCATACAACAGTCCTGGGATCTTATTGATATTATTAGCCTCAGGAAGTACACCCAGCAATTCTACCAGCATCCTTCTTAGCTGTTTGTATTGCAGTAGCATTAAGAAACTGCAGTCCAAGGAGAAGGATCCCATTACCCTTCTGTAGAAAGAGCAAAGTGCTGGAGGTCAAGATTCATGGGGTAATTCTGAGAAAAGAATTCCACTGCTCCTCTTTGGATCCACGCCAGCCTGTAGTCTCCGTGCAATGCTATAGCTACAACTTTTTAATGAGACTGCTACTCATTATCTTAGGGCCCAGCATAGCATGACTTCCTACCTACAGCTTAATGATGTGCGCACATTCACATATCATAGGTACACTGACACCACTTACACTGCCACTGCCTTCTTTTAATGGGGATTTTCTTTTTCCTATTCAAATTTCTCATTTGCTCATGGAACATTCCCTTTGTTGTAGATTGAACTGTTCATGCATCTAGAGTGCTAAGGGAAACAAGCCATTTCATGATCAATAAATGAAACTGAGCAGGCTGTAACGCAACCGGGGGCTGAACGTGCTGTAATGCAAGGGATGTTACTCTATGCACACAGTGAACAACATATATTTGTTTCCTCTCTGTCTCTATACAATTCCTTAATCCTGCTTGAATAGTCACTAATGAGACTCACAAATATCACTAAGACTTAAGTACCCGCATCATCTCTTTCACATAAAAAAATAATGCATGAGAATCCCTTATGAAATCATTGTCTTATCAACACTCAGCAATCAAAACATGTTACATTGATGCTGCCTGCAACATTTTAAGTTGGGGACAATCATCTTTGCTGCAATCCTATTCATTACAAGAACATATTTTTGCTATTATGAGGGGAAATAGTGGCAATAAAAAATCATGTATATAATCAACAGTACGTATGTAACCAGCAACAGTAACTCATGGCAGTTTATTGCAGTGGGGTAGCATCTTCCACATTCAAGAATCTTCATTCAATTTAAAACACGGCATAGAAACTACTGGAAATCTAATGTCTACCTCTGTGGTGTGATTTTGCATTTCTGTGCTTTGATATTATAATAGGGAATGGAAATATAACAGGGGACTCAATTTCAGTCCCCTGTATATTTCAGTAGGCTGCTAATACTAATGCATGGACTGGACAATGGATTTAGTGCCTCTACTGTAGCAAGAGCCAAAAACCACTTCAGAACAGATTCAGAACTGATGCACTGGTTTTTGCTCTGGGTACCTTCATATTATCAGGAACAGTTCCAAGCACTAGTCATGTGTTTCCACATTAAGAGACAGCACTCACTTCCACACTGGAGCCACATGTTCTAGGGATGAGAGACAGAGGGGAACCCATAGACAGAGCAGAACAGAGCGGTTGGGGCAGAAATATGTGGGCAGAGGAAACTAGCAGACAGGCAGGAGATTGAAGTCGGACATTGCTGGGGAAGTTGGAAAAAGCTGCAGATAGAGTCGTCTTCGCACAGTTCGGCTAGGACACAGTAAGGTCTGAGAAGTCCCGGTGTTTGAATAATCACATGAAGAGTTGTTGGGAATCCTTCATGGACAACCAGAAATTGAAGGTCAAATACAAATGAAAATATAGTTTTCCACCACATTTTATTTTAAAGGTACATTTATAAATATTTTATAAAGAGTTAATAAATGTTATAAGTCTATTGCATGCATGAATAATGTTGTTTTGTTTTGTTTTTATAAAGGACTGTAAGTACAACAGTAAATGATGTCATAAGTAAGCAAACTATTGAGCTGTTGTACTCTGTAACAACACATAAATGGTTAATCAATTCTGAAGGTATCTATCCCCTCTTTATACATGTACCCTTAATAATTTTTTCCCCTAGATTTGCATTCAAATGTAAATGTTAAACTATGACCTCAGTGTCATGAAACGTTAATGATCACCATACAGACAGACAAAAAAA